GAGCTTCTGGATGATTCTGGCAGCATGCTCACGACCGCTTTCACCCTCTTCTCTGGCAAGATCTCGACTCAAAGAAGTTATAGTACGACGAGAAAGGCTGCCATTAACATCAAAGCTCTGTCGTGTGCTGAGATTGCCTTCTGGTCCAGGTACAGGCAGTGTGTTCGTACGATCAATATTGGGGGTTGACTCGTCGTAAATACCGATTTGTGCATCCAGGGACTTGGCCGAGAACTCAGGAATGCTTGGAGGAGAGATCGAAAATGCAGGGTCAATGGATCCGGGCAAAGAAGCGTTGTTTCTGTTCATGGTGGTCTCGAAAGCGCGCTTCTTCGTGACCTCAAACACCTCCAGCCACTCCGTAAGCTCACCTTGCGTTTCAGCTTGAAGTAAGATAGTCTGACTTTTTGTTTTGACCTCAAAGCAGAAGCGTCTGTCTTCGGCAACAGCTGGCTTTGCGTTACAGAGCAGAACGCCGATTTCATCGCCTTGCAGAACCCCCAGAGGTCCAGGTATTAACCAGCCAAAGATGCCGTCGCGGCAATAGTACCACCTCCTGATCCATGCGTGTCTTGCCGGTTTTCCTTGAAGCACTCGGAGGAACAGCCACCCTTGCTTCTCGGACACAACAGTAGCACCCTCCTCAAGACGAACGGTGATGGGGCCGCGACTACCGAGAAAGGGGACGGTGGAAGTACTGTAATCCTCAAGCTCACGGGATGGCTTAAATCCCGCGAGGGCGTTCTCTCCGATTTCTCTTCGGGCAGATTGCAACTCCCGTCTGAATACCATCTCAGACGCTCCCATCTCATTTGACCAACCCTGGATGCGCTCCATCTCCTGGTTCCAACGGCTTGTGTCGCCAGCAGCTTCTCTAGTGCGTCTCAGCTGGGCCCATCGCTCGCTGCAAATCTTAACCAACAGCTTGTCCATGCTAAAGCGCAGCTGAGGTGCAAGCTGACAGTAGTCCATCGATGCCTTGATGTACGCTTTTCGTGTCTCGAAAACGGCAAAGGCATCCTCGCGCAAGGCTGAAGGCTCTTTTGTCTTGGACTGGCTGACGTATCGAGCGAGTGTCGAGTCAAAGGTTCGTTGCGCCTGGTCCATAGCCCTCCTGCACTCCTTGAAGTTCCTGAGGTCGCCAACAATAAACTGCCGGATAGGGTCGACTACTGTCCCATCCATCTTCTTCATTGTGCTTATCATCTGTATCCAGTACTCGCGCCAGCCATCACCCACCCTCTTTAAGGCCAGAAACGTATAATCATTGTCGACAACGCCGTCAGACACCGAGGGCATCGTCTTTACGAGGAATGTGTTGATGGTCTCCTCAAGGGCGAGGATATCGTGCAGGAGCTTCGAGGTGGACTGGGCGTATCCGTTCAGCCATTTTTCGATAGCATCGACTTGATCGCTAAAGTTGGCAGCGGTTACTCGAAAGGTAGGGGAGTCAAGTGCTGCTTCGTTGAGGCCGACGGGGATAGCGCGGCCAGCCTGGTTGGCCACTGCTGGCGGGGAGTCAGGCTGTGATTCGGGCATTATAAGAAATAATTATGCTGGAGCGCCGGACAACAGCTTCAGTTGACACTGAGCTGCAGTCTTTTATGGCGCAGAAAAAGGAGAATTATATGACGGTGAGAAGATGAGTTGGAATGATGTTGACGAGATGGAGGTGGCCGTTGATAGGCCATTGCACTCGGTACGAGCAGTCCAGGCCAGGGACCTGGAGGTTGCGTTGACGTAGCGCACCCATGTCATGCTGCGCCCATCTTTGAACCCCCACACAGCGCCTGCTAATAAGGTCAGAGACACCGGAAACGGGTCTGTATAGAATACGCGGTCCCGGTACGAAAGACAATCTAGCTAGCCTCAATTTCATGAGATATGTTTGTTCCCCTGAACATGTTCTTTTACTAAGCGAAATGTCAATGGTTGCGGCTACACAAGAGAACACCTAAGTAGAACTGGTCACATCACGTTTTACATTTCAAGTGGCCATACAAGCGACTTGTATTTTGTTGACTCGACATGTCGTGCCTGCTCATGACTACTATATAAGAAGCCTTGCAGCCATCCCACACCGATTCTCCTCAAATACTGACGAATCTTCAGGCCGGGCGTTGATTTGCCCATGTTGGCCTTCACGATCCTCTAGTCACCGTGCCGCCGCTATCCTTCAATTTTAATGGTTGGGCCTACCAGCCGTTAGACCTGACATTCTGGTTTCTTGAGGTGCAGGAATTGGAGGGTTCTATGTACCTCTATCCCCTTCGATCATAACTCAAGCCGTCATCATTGTGCGAAGCGGACTGGGTCGCGATGCCTGGTGGGAAGAATGGAGAGGCGAGAGACTGTCCCTCTCCACCAAACACTGTTGGGCGATTGACATCGGCGCGGCATCGGTCGACCTCTGCGCCTCAGGGCGCATGGCACTGCTGTTGTACGTGGACAGATGAACTTGAGTCGATCCCTCGCTGGTCACGAGGGGATCTGCTGGTCAATCTGGTTTTCTGTTAGACTCAAGAGGTTTGTTTCAGTCATAATGTTGTCAACTCACCGTCGTAGTACTCGTCGTCGTCGCTCACGTCAGCAAGCTGCTCAAAGTTGACCTTGTATCGGAGAAGACCACCGATACCACCGAAGCCCTTGACGAACTGGTTGCCCTCAGTGGACCGATCAGAGACGAACTCAAGGGTGGTACCAAAGTCCTTGTAGTGCTCAGCAATCCATTCCAGGAAAGACTCCTGGGAAACAATCTCCATCTCCTGGCCGGTCTCCTTGTCGAGGAACTTGTCTCGGTTGCTCTGCTCCTGCTGCTTGGTGGTGTGGAGGATGATCTCGCTACCGTTGTTGTCCTTGAGAACCCAGCGGGTGATCTCAAGGTTCTCAAAGACGATAAGAGTCTCGACAGCACCCAGCTCAAGGGCCTTGAGGGTATCCTCGATACTGTAGCAGACCTTGCCGGTATCCTGGCTAATTTCCTCAAAGTATTTTCCAATGAGCTTCTTCTCCTGGATGAACTTGACATTGCCAAGGGTCTCAGAAGACAGCTCAATAGCCTGGTTGAAACCGTTCTCACCACCGTAAGAAACATCAACAACCTTGATGACCTTTGTCGCAAGACGGTTATCAAACAGGTCGGAGGCGTTCAGGTCGCTCTTGAAATCGGCGGAACCAGCAAGGATGAGACCAGCAACGTTAACCTTGTCGGCAGTGATGAAGTTCTGGACAGCCAACTCAGCAACCTTTCGGACGTAGTTGTGACGCTTTTCCTCTCGCAGACGGGCGAAACGGAGAGCAGACTGACCACCACGACCGTGCTTCTTGGGAAGATCGACAGAGAACTTGTGGACAACTTCACGGGTGTTTCCGCTCAGGGTTCCGAACAGGGCACCGTTACCATCCATGATGATGAAACCGAACTTTTGGTCGGACTCGAGCAGCTCAGCCAAGGCCTCAGTGTGGAACTTGTTGTCGCACAGGTAAAGGGAGGTGTTGATGGGTTTGAAGGGCTCGAAATCGATGTTGACCTTTCGCTCCTTTCCTTCCTGGGTCAAGATTTCACCACAGTAGACGACCAGGCCGTTCGGGGGGACCTTGTTGTACAGCTTAAGACGCTGCTGGGTCGAGGTAATGGCGGACAGGACGGACTGTCGGTTGACTCGAGACTTGATGTTGGAGGCGGTACCCTAGAACATTGTTAGTGCCGCTGCAGCGACATTTCGTTGGAGTGAAGAGATCGTACGTATTCTTCAGCCAACATCTTGGCAGCTCGAGAGACTTGGTCCTTGGGAGCTAAAGGACACGCAAGTTAGTGCGTCGTTCCGAGACGGAGGCGAAGGGGTTGAGCGGCTTACGGATAATGAGGGAAATCATTGAGGTTCCATTTCCTCTGGCGGCTTCAAGACGCTTGATGAGCTTCTTGACCTTCCAGATCTCAATCTATTGTAGACATTATCAGCGATTGTCGCCATTGTTTATTACTCCATGACAGAGTCTTTAATTTCTGTATCGCGGGGCAAACACCATACAAGAAATAAAGAAGAGGGGCACTGGACTCGACTTACGTTCTTCTCGGCCTCGTTCGCCTGAGCGTCACTCATTTTGGCGTTTGGGACTTGACTCAAACCTCGGGAATGTTTGTTTTTCTTTGCAAAGGGGTTCTCCTCGCAAACTTGGGAGTCGTTGAACTATTAAGTCGGGACTCTGGAGCCTGAAGATCCCAAAAGTTGGATGTTAGTGCCAGATTTTTTTCCCACAACGAGCGATGACCTAGCTGGGTCACATCCAAGGCACTCGTGGCGGGTCTGGTCCATTACGGCGGCAGGTAGGGTAGCCGAGCAGTCACTGCACGGGAAGTTCCTCAGGAACCCAGGTTACCGAACTTTCAGGCACCTACAAGGTAGATCACAAAAGAACAGGCAGTGTTATAGTGGTTGATAAAAAATATTAGGCCAGATTTAGTGGGTATATAGCCTAAGAGCATGCTAATACTTAGGGACTTAGTTTGCCCGTGAATTTAGCTCTCAGTGGGTCCTCCTGCCGGACCTGTGGTTGACGCCTGACATGAGCTGCTATATAAGCAACGCCACAGCACTGTCAGGTGACAAGGAGCGGATTATCAATCTTAGGTAGCGTTATGACAAGCCACGTACAGAGTAGAATTAAGTCAATTACTTACAGGTTCTCAGCGAGACTTGCCTTTCTCGATATCTTGATTTCCAGCAGGAGCTTTCGTGTGACAGTTTCATAGTTTCCCATTTGCGAAAGTTTTTCACAAGGAAACATTCCGCGAGGGTGGCCGAGTGGTCTAAGGCGCTGCATTCAAGATTTAATCTTACCTAGTTACCTGGGTTTCGCAGTATCGGAAGATGCATGGGTTCGAATCCCATCCTTCGCATTACTTTTTGTTTTTATTTTATTTTTTATCTCTTGCTAGCCAATATGTAGAGAAGACTCAGTGCAAAAAATAATAATTCTAGAGCACACACACCTCAGTTGCAAATATGGCCGAGTGGTCTAAGGCGCTGCATTCAAGATTTAATCTTACCTAGTTACCTGGGTTTCGCAGTATCGAAAGATGCCTGGGTTCGAGTCCCAGTATTTGCATTACGTTTTTTTTTAGCCTTCTTCTTTTTATTACAATTAGTTAAATAAGCCTTAAGTAATTAACTTAGGTAAATTATATATATAAATAGCCTCTATTAATATATAAAAAAGGAGGAATTTTCTTATATTAAAGCCTCTTTATATTTCTTAGTTATCTTAATTAATATTAACTTTTGCAACCACTCTATATTATCCCGCTTTATAATACCAGTTTCTCAGCCTGTACTAATTAATGGACTGTATAGATAGGAACTTCCACATGGGCAGGCACCAGGACGACAGGCTTAATATCCCCAGGCAGGTAGTATACATACCCTGACTGTAACTGTCTTGGATTCACTGATACCCAATTGGGTTTCGTAACATTACTGATAGCAGCTCGGATTCCAAATTCAGCTTCATTTTATGTCACGCAGGTGGGCAGTTTGTACTGTGTTGACTGCTGTGAATTGAAGCAAGCTAGCAAAGTGCGCGTACATAGGTAAGTACTAGGTTAGTAGGTAGGTGCCTAGTACTTACTACCTACCTAAGTATATATATACCTTAGCAGGCATTCTCCTTCTACAAAGTAATAATTAAAAAAACGAAACAGCCACAAAGCGCGAGAAAAAGAAAAATCAACATTAGATTTTAAAGATTGCAATACACCATAAAAATGCAATAACTCAACCAGTGGTACTGCTAACGATCTATCACAAGTCAACTAACAAAGGCTGATATGATCAAAAAGCTGTCATTGCAAGTATTGCAAACCAGAAGGTATCTCGTACTAGAATATACCTTTGATGATCACATGCCCCCAGTTTTGATACTGGTCAACGGCCACAGAGACTGATTGCTTGTCCCTAACTACTAATTTGATGAGTACCTTAGTAGGTAATATCAGTTGAGAGTTAGCACCTAACAATGCAGCAAACGTGTTTTCAGATGTCCTTCGCCACTTCTTTATGTGAGAAAAACCAGCCAGCTTTTGTCGATGTCATCTTTGAGGCTCGGGTCACATATTCACTGTGCTGCGGAGTTCATTTCTCAAAAGTCGCAAGAGCTTACGATGACCCGGCTGAGATGGGATCTAGATTGACAACAACACACTTTTTACGGTACGTTCCTTGTGTCGTTGCTGACGATGGTGAATTGACGTGCCGCGCTTTGCCATTTCTCAGGCACGAAAGCCAAAGAGTCCAACGCCATTGAGCTTTTGACGTTATCACGAGAAATCGATACCAATATCGAGCGTATGGATGCTGACAGTATTCGGGTAGTTGGAGGAATCTGTGATGATCTATTTAGTTCTGAAATTGGGAAATCCGAAATCCGTGGAAAGTGTGGGCAACTCACTCAATGAAACCTGTCACATCGTCCGTGCCTTGGGAAAAGTCGTCCTTTTTCCCGGTCCAGAAGTCGCCACCACGCGGTAAACGCAGATCGATGTATCTTCCCAACAACCACAGCGCGTCGTTCCAGTTAGGTGGTTGGATGGTTCCAGGGCGTTTATTTGGAGGTTTTGCACCTTTCTCCCCAATAGGCGATGCACACAAAGCCTCGGGATATTCTGAAGTGTCAGTAGCAGCTGCTCCCGAAGAATCTAGCGAAGCGGCCATAGTTGCATCTCTATCCCTGATTGTTTTCCAGAGAGAAACAAAAGCATGACCGGATTCTCGACTGTTCAAGACTGATAACGGCAGGGTGCATGCTGAATTATACGCAGGCACTCTGAGCGTGAAGCCCGTTGGTGACCTCAGATCTATCCCGAGTTCTGTGAAATGGATTGTTCGCGTATCATCCCTTTCGAGTGGCGCAACTGAGGGCCCCAGCTTGAAATAAACGGTAACTATCCGGTCATCAATCGACTTGTACCTTAACCGCAATAGGCCTCGTTGAGAAACTTCAACCTTGTGCCCGTCGATTTGATTCAAATCAAGAGTTAGAGTACTGCCTATTTTCCCCCTTGTGCAACCAGCGAGCCATTGCGACTGGAGAACCATGAATCTTTGAGAAGCTTCCTGCAAAAACTCTTTCTCGAAAGTTGTATCAGCACTTGGTCGATTGACAGCGCTTGGTCCGCCAAACGTTTCGACAAACCTTCGGCGTTCCAGTTGTGTATCATCAGAACATTTGGCTTCCATCGAAGCAGCAATCCAGACGTCTTGCTCCAAGTTCCGGAGGAATTCAATCCAGGCTACCTTTCCAGACGGCCAGCCACAAAGACTAGCGGTTTCGTCTGCGAACAGGGCCTCAGCTTGCTCAAGTCTAACAGCTGAATCAGGTAGGCCTTTGGTCTGCCCACAGCGCTCGAGGGCTATCTTGTAACGATAAGAGGGATGTGTGCTAATACCCAAGTTCGTAGTGAACAGCGACTGGAATACATACGAATTGGTTTCGCATCCTGCTGTAGAGGCTCTTTGGTCGTTTGGGACGGTGCTCGACGCTGTCCACTTCCGCTCCAGCAGAAAATTGGGCAATCCCTGAATGAAGCTTTGGATTACAGCATTTTGGAAAGACTTGACACACTTCCAAAACTCATTCAAGAATTCATGCGGGTGGTGGTCCCATTCGGTTGGATAATCGGCAGGGAACGGTGTCTTTCCAACGATCAAACCTCCAGTGAACCTGTGAACACTGGCCGCGACGGTAAAGAACTGCTTGTATATCATCGCGTCGTTGACACAATTGTGGGTAGACCGGAGGCTGTTGGGCTTTTGGATAAAACCGTGGACTTTCCTCCATCTCTCCAAAGTCTTATCTGTAGGTCCCCAATTGTTGGACTTTAACTTGGAACGTGTATCATGTCTTTCGCAAATGTCTGCCTCGAAATCCTCATGGGATCTCTTCCTTGAACCCATCGCCTCTATTGCTGTATCGGATAGTGAAGCGATTTCCGAAGTATCTCTGCGAGATATACAAATCAAGTACTTTTCGCCTGTCCTCTGAGACGATGGATACATTGACCTGCTCCGATAAGTTGTTGGACTCCATGCCTCGCAACCGCTTAGAAGTCGTTATCGCCAATGTGTCGACACTTTTCGCAACGGCGAACTCAGTTTTGGCTGCTGCTAGACTTTCGAAGTATCCTGCCTGTTCCAGTATTACATCTGCCTCTGATTTGAGTTTGATGAGAAAGTCATGTCGCGATCCACGTGGCGTTTCGCATTGTGACAGGAGACAGACCGCGGTGTCTAGAAATACCCACGTCGCCACCCATGGGTACCAAAACAGTTTGTCCTGGCTCGACGCTGTGGCATTTCTGACATAACTTCCAGGATGGAAGTGAGGTATGACGACCATTGCGCATTCAATACCGGCGACCTTCACTGTCCTCGGCAGCCCGACTTCCTTGAGGTACCTACATTTAGATTAGAGATTGAAATATGGGGATAGTGATTTGAACGCACGAATTCGGCGGGGAAAGTCTTCTCGTTGGCTGTGCCACCCAAGCATAAACCTGGTGGCCAAGGACTACTGCAACCACAAGCTTGATTGTTTGTAGCCATGAGTCGAATAGTTCCTGGGCTAAAATCAGTCATCGTTTTCAAGCCAGGAACAGGAAATACTAACTCTTGACCGCTTCATTTGTTCAGGGCCCAGCGTTGGCCAGTTCAGGAGCTGGTTGAAATTGGTTATTTCCTCCAAGGGTTTGATCGAGGCATTTGCGCTATTCGTTTCGAATGAAGCCATAGAAGTTAAGATGCTCCTCACCAGACCACTTGAAGCTCGCATACCACTCAAGATGCCGGCGCCACCCTTGACACTCTCAAAAGGCGGCTCTCGGCCACAGATATCGAGGAGCGAGTACCCGTGGGCCCATGACCTGGCAACAGCCTGTTCAGACGTACCCGCGATATAGGTCGTTCGTTCGCGCTCCTTTCCTCTATCCTCAGTCGTCCAAACATGTTCTCTTGCGTAATCCTACCAGCTGTCGAACAGATCTTGCACCTGAAGAACCACGCCTTGGGGCGGAGAAGTACGCCACTCTTTAGTGTTACCTAACAACCGCGTTCGGCATAGTCTAAAGACCTGCTCTTCTTCGAAACTAGGAGATAGCATTCTATGCATACCACCCCTCTGTCTATTAAGAAGTGTACGAAATCCGAAGAACGAAATCACGTATCGCTCAATATGATCAGTTGCATAGAAGAAAAACCGGCAAGGCTTGCTCGTTTTGGTGCCGAAGTTGGCAACAGAACTGCCATGAATCATGTATACCTTGTGCTGTTCCAAAACCTGTGGAAACAGGGAGCACAAGATGGACAGGAACATTCCGAAGAATGATTGCGGTCGCTCCGTACGTTTATTCACACGCTTCCAGGGATTCCTTGGGGAAGACGTTGACCCGACGTACCGGACAGTAACAATTGTCACAGGTTTGCAGGACTTAAGCATCAACGCCCACGTTTCCACCATATTGCCGTAACCAGCTTCCGGAGCTTGGTGACTACTTCGGAGAGCTGGGTTGCTCTCATAGGCCATGATCGAAAATAGCAAATTGAACCATTCTTCAGAGCGGGAGAGGAGTTTTTTGACTCTTCTATCGATATGAGCTTGGCGAGTTGCTCGTCGCTCACTAGCATTGGGAGGTCTAGCCAGTGCTGCAAGGGTACTCTCAACCCGTCTTTACATTTGTAGTTGATGATTCTTTCCCCCAGTATTCTCGCCACATTGTCCGGCGTATGCAACTGAGATCGTAGCGCTTGCCAGGACACATGTTTGTCCCCAAACGACGACACCGTGTGCCGCCTCTGTTGGCCGACAAGACATCTCACCGGCAATGTCGTACCGCCAGAAAAACTTGCCGATCTGTTTTTTGAAGGCATGCTGTTTCCGCGGATAGTAAGATTAGCTCTAAGTACAAGTATACTGGAAATGTTAGAAACTCACGTAGATTGTGCAGGGGAACATTTGTAGTTAACGCTTAATTTTGTTCAAGGAGTGAAGCAGAAATGAAAATCGCCAGTGCAAAAATGACAGTCACGTTACCAGCCCTACATGAGCAAGTACAGCAA